ATTTTTACAACGGAGAATTATTCAATTCTAAAGGAATGACGTGACAACATGGATGAACCTTGAAAACATTATGCTGAGCCAAAGAAGCCTGACACAAAAGGCCACATACTGTGTAAGTCCATTTATATGCCATATAGGCAAATCCATAGAGACAGAAAGCAGACTAGTTATTGCCAGGGGCTGGGAAGAGGAGAAGATGTGAAATAACTGCTTAATGGGTTTGGGGTTTTCTTTGGGGTGATAAAAATATTCTGGAACTACATAGTGGTAATGTACAACATTGTAATGTATTAAATGCCACGGGTCTGTGCACTTTAAAACGGTGCATTTTATGTTAGGTGTATTTTACCACAATGGGCAGGAAAAAAAATAAAAAAGATTACCTCACCATGGAGAATTTTTAGCATTTAAAAGTGATGAAAGATATGTTATAAACCATCTATAAGATCTTGAAAGGAAGTTTGGTTTCTCTTGTCCTTGGCCTGTGCGCTGACAGGTCTGAGATGGACATATGTGTTTCCCAGGTAACCAATGCAACCCTTGCCTTGTCTCCTTAGCTCACAGTAGCCTGACCAACTTGCTCACTTACTCTCGATTTGTGGGGCACTGCGGTCATTGATCTGTGTGACTTTTCGTAGGCGAGTTCCTTGCTGGATATCAGCCAACAATGCACTCCGACCTTTTGGATCTGCCTTTCTCAAGCTGGAAATGTCTGTGCTTACCTGTAAGGGAATAAGACGGATTGTGCTATAATTGCATGTAACATTTGCAGATAAGCAGAATATCCTGCCCACTGTTTTTCCTCCTTAGTTCTCTGTCTTCTTTGTTTTCCATACCTGTCGTGTCCCATTCCCAAGGCTGAGCTCATTGGTGCAGTCACCTACAGATCTCAGTGGACACACCTCAGGCCCTGCTCACACCCCTCCCCTGGGGACCTAGAATGGACTCTTCCCTGGAGATCTTGTTGTTAGCTGACGTGGGGCTTGCCCTCGACTCATCGTGACCCCATGCAAGTGAATGAAATGCTGCCTGGTCCTGCGCCATCCCTGTGATTGGTTGTGGATTGAACTGTTGTGATCTGTAGGGTTTTCACTGGCTGATTTCCAGTAGATTGTCAGGCTTTTTTTCCTAGTTCATCTTAGTCTGGAAGCTCCACTGAAACCTGTCCAGTATCATAGCTCCACACAAACTTCCACTGACAGATGGGTGGTGGCTGCACTTGAGGTGCATTGGCTAGGATTTGAACCTGGGTCCCCTACATGAAAGGAGCCCTGGTGGTGCTCAGCTGCTAACTGACAGGTTGGCAGTTCAAACCCACTAGTAGCTCCACAGGAGAAAAAACCTGGCAATCTGCTCCTATAAGGATTACTGCCTAGAAAACCCTATGGGGCAGTTCTACTCTGTCCTACAGGGGCGCTATGAGTTGGAGTTGACTCCATGGCACCCAAAAACAACTCCCACATGAAAGGTGAGAATTCTACAACTGAATCACCAGTGGCCCCTCTGAAGTCTAAACCAGTTTTCAGCAACTTGATTCTGACTCATGGCCACCCCATGTGTGTCAGAAGAGAACTGCATTCCATAGGGTTTTCAGTGAATGATTTTTTGGGAAGTAGGTTGCCAGGCTTTTCTTCTAAGGCACTGGTTGGGCTCAAACCACCAACTTTTTAGTTAGTCACAAGGTGCATTAACTGCTTGCACCACAGGGACTCCTGGAGATGTAAACCAAACCAAAAACCAAACTCACTGGCATCAAGTCTATTCCAACTCATAGTGACCCTATAGGACAGAGTAGAACTGCCTCGTAGGGTTTCCAAGGCTGTAAATCTTTACAGAAGCAGAGTGTCTCATCTTTTTTGTCCTGTGAAGCAGCTGGTGGGTTCAAACCACCAACCTTTTGGTAAGCAGCTGAATACCTAACCACTGTCCCCTCCCCCCAACCCCAAGCGCCTACTGAATGATTAAAAAAAAAAACAAAAACTCACTGCCGTTGAGTTGATGCCGACTTATAGTGATCCTCATTGGGTTTTTGAGGCTGTAAATCTTGACGGAAGTAGATTGTCCCATCTTCCTTCTACTGAACAGCTGGTGGGTTTGAACGCCTGACCTTCTGGTTAGCAGCCAAATGCCTTATCCACTATACCATCAGAGTTCCTTATTGCAGGTCTAGGGAGCCCTAAATCATAGTTTCCCTTCCTCCCTCCTAGGTTAGCCCCACCCAAATTCCTGGGCTTCTGTCTGGGGGTCCTTGGTCCCTACTCCTTGATTTTGAATGATCATCCTGCCTGGTGTCCCCAGGTTTACTCCTACACAAAATGTTTTGCTGACTGCCAGCATGCTTATGGGAGTTGGTTCTATTGCTTGGCTTGCTCTGGGCTGTTCTGAGTGGTACTGAAGGCTTTCTCAGTCCCTAGGTACTCACATCCCTCCTGCTGTTGGGTCCCAGGTGGCCCATTAGGTCTCATGGTTAAAGCAGATTACAGCTCTAGAAGCTGATTTTGAGGGATGGTGGCCCTCATGTGATCATGGGGCAAAGAGGAGAACTAGGGAGCTAGAGAGAAACTGGGACTTAGAGGGTCAGTAAGGAGCGGCAAAAGCGGAAGGCAGAGAATTACAATGAATGTGTAGTGACGGCTTGCTCTGTGCCTTACATTGTTTGCTGGCCAGTTGTTTCCGCCTCATGGTGACCCCGTGTGTGCAGAGTAGAATTAAGTGCTCCATAGGGTTTTTAAGGCTATGTGTGATCTTTCAGAAGTAGATCTCCATGCCTATCTTCCAAGGAGTCTCTGAGTAGGTATGAACCTCAAACTTTCAGCCAGTAGTTGAGTGCTTAACTGTTTGTGCCATCCAGGGACTCCCAGCCTTATGTTAATTACCTCAGAAAACCTTGGGTGTTAAAAATGAGCTTGCCCCCATTTTACAGATGAGAGACTGAGACTATGAAATAGTCTGTTAAGGTGATAAGGCTGGGGTTCAAACCCAGATCTACTGAATTCCAAAGTCCATATGTTATTTGCTACATAATAGCTATTCAAGGGCACATCCTATTTTTAGGATATGTTCCTAAAGACAGCTAAAATGCTTCCTAAATATATTAATGAGAATAACCTTTGTCTTGATTCTGCAAGCAGCACTGGGATACAACTGCTTCACTTCCACTGTAGCTTAAGCTGACGCAGCAGGGGTTTCCATGGGCTACTGAGAACTGGGGAGCACTGGAAAGAACATGGGTGGCAAATAAGGGGAAGGAAGAGGCTGGATTGGAAAACACAGCCTGATAGTGAAAAGGTATCATATGACCTTAAAACCAAACTCACTGCTGTTGAGTCGGTTCCGACTCATAGTGACCCCTCCATGGGTTTCTGAAGCAGTATTTCTATGCAAGTAGATTGTCCAGTCTTCCTTCCAAGGAGTGGCTAGTGGGTATAGATGGTTAAACATTTCTCAAAGCTTCTTAGTACCTGCTGTACAGGGAATGCTATGTGTCTTCAGTTTTCAGCTTAAACATCACCACTTTAAGGCTTTCCTGATACCTCTAATCTAAATAAGGCCATTCACTGTTCTCCCTCATTGTGTGTGCCCCATCCCATGTTTCTCCTTAACATTTATCAGAGGTAAACATTTTATTTTTTTGTATAAAATAAACCAAACCAAATTCACTGTTGTCTAGTCAATTCGACTCATGGTGACTCCTCCTTGGGTTTCTGAGGTAGTATCTCTATGGAAGTAGATTGCCCAATCTTCCTTCCAAGGAGTGGCTGGTGGATTTGAACCTCCAGCCTTCTGGTTAGCAGTCAAATGTGTTTAATATTCATCTCCCTCCACCCCCGGCCCCCAGGATTCTATTCTATAAAGGAAAACATATATGTTCTTGTTTGTTTTGCCCACCAATACACCCCTACATCCCCAGTGAATAGAACAGGACCTGGCACCAGATAGGAGCTCAGTAACAATTTACTGGATGACTGTATGAGTGAATGAATGAACTTAGACCCAAGCTGTATAAGACACTATCTTTGTTCTCAAGAGGATGCACATATACCAGGGAGACCAGAAATGGATGGCAAGAAGATAAACACTACATCATGCAGTCTATGACTAAGCATCTCCGAACAGGCCCTACAGAGAGGAAGACCCCTCAGGGGTCAGAAATGCAATGCTTATCAGGCTGAGCAGGCTTCAGGGAAGATAGGAGATTTTGCATAGTCCCTAAAGCATGTGTTCCCTGAAGTACAAATGTTAGGTGCTCTGGAATCTGTTCTGACTCATAGTAACTCTACGTACAACAGACAAAATACTGCCCAGTGTGTGTCAAAGTGTGTTCCATAGGGTTTTCAATGGTTGATTCTTTGGAAATAGATCACCAGGCCTTTCTTCCAAGGCACCTCTGGGCAGACTACCTGCTAACTTTTTGGTCACCAGCTGAGTGCATTAATTGTACCACCCAGGGATCCCTTAAATATGGCAGCTACATTGTTGTTATTGTTGTTGTTGTATTGTCTGGTGCCATCAAGTCAATGCTGACTCACAGCAACCTTATGTACAACAGAATGAAACACTGCTCAGTTCTGCACCATCTTCACAATTGCTCCCACGTTCAAACGTGAGGCCATTGTTGTAGCCACTCTGTCAATCCATTGAGAGTCTTCCTCTTTTTTGCTCATACTCTACTTTAGCAAGCATGAAGTCCTCCAGGGAGCAGTCCCTCCTGATAACATGTCCAAAGTACCTGAGCAAAATATTGCCATCCTTGCTTCCAAAGAGCATTCTGGGTGTACTTCTTCCAAGACAGATTTGTCTGTTCTTCTGGTAGTTCATGGTATATTCAATATTCTTTGTCAACACCATGATTCAAATGCATCAATTCTTCTTCAGTCTTCCTTAATCATTGCCCAGCTTTCACATGCAAATAGGATTTTATAAAACCTTCCCATGGCAGCTCTCTGCTCTCTGCCTATAAAAGGTCAAACCAGGTGTGATAGTTGAAGATGTGTCAACTTGGCTGGACTCCAGTTGTGACTGGTGGTTCCCATGATAGATCACATGACTGCGTTCTAAGCGGCCAGTCGGTCTAGGGGGAGTTTCCCCAGGGGTGTGGCCTACCTGCAATACTATCCCAGGGACAAACTGGAAGAACGGCATTCCGGACTATACAGTTCCTG